TGTGCCGTGCCATGATAGGAGTGATTGGGGTGGTGGGGTCCCAAGCCAGCCCCAGTCCTACAGTGGCCAGAAAAGGGCAGTCGGAGCAGGATGCCAAAGGTAAAGAGGAGAGTGCTCCTGGCAGAGATCAGCTCAAGCAGGGGCCCTGGGCTGACAGAGAATAGCAAATACAGGGCTGGAGGCCTGAGCCCAGCAGGAGAGAGGAGGGAGAGGGGCCAGACAGGGCTGGGCCTTCTGATGAGACTAGACTAGATTCTTAGAGCACAGGGGGTGGGCTCTTGAGGAGTTTCCATCAGGAGGCCCCCACAGATAGATTTGATTCAGAAAGCCCCGGTGCTGGCAACTCGCTGTGTGGAGGCCCAGGCTGAAGTCAAGGAGCAGTCTAGGGGCTGGAGAGCAGAGGGGCATTCTAAAACCTCAGGACATCCGGATTGGGTGAGGTGGGGTGGGGTGGTGACTGACACTGTGACCTTCGTCACCTGGGGGGTGTGGGGAGGTGGGGGGGTGGAAGGGCCTTAGACCAGTTCCAGTGATTCCTTAGACCAGTTCCATGCACCTCCCCCATGATCTGCTGTGGAGAATCTCCCCCTTCTCCAGTCCCCCCCAAGGGCTGACATGCACCATAGAAGTTCCAGCTCAGTGTGGCCCACTCCTCCCAACTCCCAGCCCCCTGAGTGCTCCCCCAGCTAACCTTCCCCCATGCTCCAAGCTCCCCCGTTTCCGCAGACCATAGGCTCTTTGTGCAGGCTGTGTCTCTCCTGAAACATTCTTTCCCCTTTCCCCTTCTCGCTTAAGAGATCTCCCAGTCCAGTGCTTCTCTGGGGAGTTCCCCCATGTACTTTGGACCCCAAGCTGGCTCAGAAAAATGCCATATCCCCTCCTATTAGACCACTTCTCTCTCTGTCTCTCAGTAACTAGACGCCCGGCTAAGGGATGCTTGGATGACTGTCACCCCCAGGAAGCCAAGGACAGGGCCTGGTTTTGCTCACCTTCTCAACCTCAGCCAGCACTCGATGGACACTAGTAGACTAAGTCGGCCGGCCAGCCGACCTAAACAGTGCCATATCAAAACCCAAACCAAACTCGCTGCCTTCACGGCGATCCCACCTCACAGGCAGAGCGGAACTGCCCCTGGGGGCTCCACAGCTGTAGGTTTTTTTGGGAGCGGAAAGCCTCGTCTTCCTCTGAGCAGAGCAGCTGGGGGGTTCAAACTGCTGACCTAATGGTTAACAGCCCCGCGCGTAACTCACAGTGCCAGCAGGGCTGTGGAACGGTCCCACGGCCACGCCAAAAGGAAAGTAAAAAGAAACAGGTGGGATGAATTTTCATCATGTATTTGATATAGTCCCCCAAACTCGGTGCCATGGAGTCGATGCCAACTCACAACAATGCTACAAACAGGCCGGGGGAGAACTGCCCCCGTGGGCTTCTGGGCTGGGAACTCTTCACAGGATCCCGGGTGGCCTAGTGGTTGTGCATTGGGCTGCTAATCTCAAGGTCAGTGGGTTGAAACCACCAGCAGCTCCGGGAGGGAAAGACGAGGCTTTCAGCTCTAGTAAAGAGCTATAGTCTGGGAAACACACAGGAGACATTCTACCTGTCACTATGAGTCGGAAGACACTTGATGGCAGTGAGGTTTTTTGGGAGCAAGACCAGGATTTCTACTCCCCTAAAGAGTGACAGTCTCGGGAACCCACAGAGGCCAGCCGGTCCTGTCGGGTCACTATGAGTCGGCTTCGACTCGATGGCAGTGGATTTTGAAGTTGGTGTGTTTTTGGCTTTTGAACTCTTCGCAGGAGCAGAAAGCCTGATTTGTTCCCTTTGGAGTGGCTGGTGGTTTCGAACTGCTGACCTTGTGGTTAGTAGCCCATGCGTAACCCCCAGTATATCCCAAATAGTATGCCAGCATATAATCAGGGTCTTTTTAAGTATCAGTTAAATGGTTTCCCTTTTCCCTAAGTTTTCAAAATCCAGTGTGCACTGCAGTGTCCTTTGGAAAGGCCACATGTCAAGTGCCCAGGAGCCCGAGTGGCTTGTGGCTCAGCCCTGAGTCCTCAGTGTCCTTGGAAGACAGACTCTCTGTTGCTTCCTTCAGTCACCACTTTCCTTGGGCCTCTAGTCCCCCACTCACCCCCCAGATCCTCGTCCTCCGGCTGGGCCCTGGCGTCATTCTCCCTCACTCCTCTTTCATTCTCCAGCCGAGAGGACAGGACGGATGAGAACTTTCACCTTTCCCAGCCCAACAGGGCCCCACCTCTCCCCTCTCCTGGCCTCCCTCCCTGCTTTCATTCAGAGCAAGGACGCCTGGGACTGCACTTGGAAACATGTGAAAGGCCTCTTCATACAACTGGTCCAGTGCTCCAGGGGAAGGAGGGGCTGGGCCAAAGCTGGGGGTCAGGGGAAGACATTTCCCGTGATGCTGGGGGCGGGGGGGTTGTCTGCTGACCATATGTCTGGGGGAGGCGGCTCCTCTGATAATGCAAAGCAGATTCCTCTCCGCTATGTGGCAGCTGGTGGGCAGAAGGCCAGGGGACAAAACTGGGTCCCCAGGCGTCTGGGGAGAGAAGAGTGGAGGCCAGGAGGGTCCCTGCCTTCCAGTGAACCCTGCCCAGCTACACCAGGGCCCCCTTGGCAACGGCCTGGCTGCACTTGGCTATGCCCCAGGCTCCAGATAACTCAGGAGTTCCATAACTCATACCCCCCAGTCCTCAGCACACACCTCTCCATTCTGATGGCAACCAGCATGCGTCTCAGGGTGACCCTGGA